ATGATGCAGTCAGAAGGTAAGCAAGCAAATGTTTATGGCCCACTTTACAGCTGAAAAAGCTGGAAACTAGGTCTGTTACATTAGTCATAAGGCTGCCACTGCAGGACACTTTCCTGGGTTATGTTTACTTCTTAGGTTTTTCAATATCCTTGTCCAATATAGTCCTTTTGTATCACGCAAGAAGCGCATTGTTTGTTCCTAGTTTGGAGCACAGGGTTCCATTTTCCTTTTTAGGGTTTTAAAGGCAATTGTATAAGTGGTGCTGCCCTGACTAAGAAGCTGTGGTTTCTGTGTTGTCTGTTTTGATGACTACAGTTAGGCTCTGGGACTTGCTATGCAGAGGACATACATATGGAGGATCCTAACTGAAGTACTCCAGAGACATTTTTGCTAAATCCTGAGTATCTAGTATTGTCTATGATAGAAAAAATATAAGCCAGCTAAATTACTGTGACAGGTGGTTGGTAGAGGCCACAAATCAGAAGGGAGGTATTTCATCTCATTGAAGAATTTAAGTGGTGCATCACATATGTATTCTGGCTAGAGAAGCTGATCTTGTGAAGGTGGAAGTGAGTATGTAGTTGCACCATTGGTGAACATTTTGGTGCTAATCTAAAAGATGTCTGAAATATGTACCTTGGCCAAAAGTAGTACCTTCTCACTATTCTGCTCTTAGGCACTTGAATCCATCTCAAAGCAATTCTTTTCTTTTCCATCTGTCTTTTAATTCCTCCTTTCTAGTTAAAAGATAATTCAGTAGAAAAATGTATTTACATTGCATCAAGGGTATGTGTAGCAATCTCAACTGATGATGAATAAGCTAATTAAATTATTTTGTCTCCTAATATTCAATGGCTTACTTTGTAAGCAATGACTTAAATAGCTAAAGGAAATAGAAAAACTTACCATGCGATACCATGACATTGCACATCTTTGTACCTTCTCTGAAGACTACAAATTTTGTCCTCTTTGCTTTTTCTGTGTCTCGTTGATTCTTGAACATGGAGGGTTTTTAGAGGAAGCTTGGGATTAGCAGCAGCAAATACTGACAGAGTTAGGGCCTTCTTGTGAAAGAAGGGAGGGCAGACTTTAGCTGCCTCAGTTTGAGGAGGGCTTTGAGAGCTGCCTCAGGGACTCTGAGATGCAACAGCCACTATCTCTTGCTTCCTTCCAGCAGATGCCTATCTGCAAAAGAGAGTCCTTTGCCAGTACTTTCTTTGGCTGGGTCAGGGTGGTTTCCTGATCAGGAATGCTGAGGCATTTCATAGAGAAGCAGACCTCTTCTTAAACCCTTCACTTCAGAGCTGCCTGTTTCTTTCCATTTTCTGTACAGAGTTGGAAAATTCTTCTGACTTGACATGGTATGATTTATTAGCCTGGGTCGGGTACCTACTTCAAGTGTCGCAGCCCTTGAGTTTCTGTCTAAATTTAGTGATGTGAAATGTCTCAAAAATGTCTTAGTACACAACATGTCAGCATAGTTATCTGCCTTCTGGGGATGGAATACTGTTAAGTTTTACCAAAAAGCTCTATACTCTGTGCCTATGACTTGCCACTAGTGACTTTGGGAGCTATAGTGCTTTCTTTATTCATGGATTTCCACAAGGAAAGGAAAGAAAAATCTTTTTAAATCTGGGACAGCCACATTGATAGAATGTGACTTAATTTGGTTTGAGATTATTTTTAATTTTTTTTTTAAAATGCCAAAACAGTATTTATTATTTGCTTGTTACTTCAGTAATATAAAAATATGCTGTTTTTTTAAGTTAATAGTTACTGTGTACACACACTATCAAATCTTCCTATGAAACATATATTGCTGGGCTTTTATATTTCTGATATTTCCACTTCATGTTCTTCCTGAGATTAATCTGAAACAAAGAAACAATCTTTAAGTCATATGGTGGCTAACATGCAACATAGTTCTTTCCTGATTTAAAAAGGGGGAAAAAAGTCAGGGAGGTGACTGGAAAATATTAACTTCTTGATTTTGATGAAACCCCGGGTTTTTACTACATTACTGAATATTGTAAAACAGTTATTGACAGTCATGATATTATCAAGTGTAGACCCCATGCACTACAAATGAGCAGAGCTGTTGTCCTCATTTTTATAGGCCTGGTCCCATGATATAGAATGATGTTATTCTTCTTAGTAATTAGGTAATTTAAATCTTACATGCTCATCTAAATATCTGTTGTGTTTAGCAATTTGTACACTTTTGTAGAGGCATTTTGTCAGTCTAAAAAGACTTTATCAAAGAATATGGGGTGAGGAAGAAGAGAACAGCACTTGGTGTGTCAAGAGGCATACAAAATAAGCTGCAAATTTTAAGAATATGAACAATAATTGAAGAAAAAGTATTATGTAAATCTATTATATCTGTAAACTAGCTGGATAAAGCTTTCATGATACTTCATAAATCATCCAGAACCCAGATCACACTGGTAATGGTGGGTACAAATTAGACAGATGTTGAGAAAACTAGAATATTTTTCAGTTTGCGGGTTTTTTTTTATTGTATTTGCTCTTGACAACTTTTTGCAACATAAAGCAAAGGAGCCACCTGTAGGAGTGTGTGATTCAGAATGGGGAAGTTACTGAAAACATGAAAGTTGAAGGAAGTTTGGGTAAATGTGAGTTAAGGGAGTGTCTGTGGTCCCCAGTAACAAAAGGAAGGAAGAATGCTGAATTGAAAACAAAGAATTTTGTTAAGGAAGGCTACAGTAAATACAGAATTGGTAGGTAAGATCCCTTTAGTCAAGCCTCAAGGGGAAAGGGAATTAAGGAGAGGTGATGCTTTGTCAGAGATAATACTAAAGCACAAACAATGCTATGCAGAGACTTAGAGTTTAATTAAACTGTAAATTCTGCATTGACCTCTGAGACTTTCTTAGTTGTCTGAAGAACAGAATAAAAGACTTGTATGAGAAAGGGACAAAAGTTTGGTAGGGAGCAGGGTATGGAGACACCCAGATTAACCGCAATTCATTTTTAAGTAGGAGGCATCAAGGTAGTATGCACATGCACAAACATCCAAAAATCTTCTGTCACAGAGTAAAAGAAGAGCCATAGAAAGCATTTGTAATTTATAAGCCTCTCCTCCAATGACAAGAAAATCATACTGAGATTCTACAGTTTTTAATCTATTTTTTTGTGCAAGCTTTTGTGAAGTCAGCTATGTATAGGTGGCTAGCACAGTACTAATGCTGTAACAGCATTCTACCATCTGTGTGCAAATTAGTTGTTTCTTTAAATATTATGAAATGTAAAAAAATGTCACCAACTCTGTGGCCTATTTATGGAACACCATATAAAGATTTCAATTTGAAACTGTTAAATACATGTATTTGGGAGTTACTTTAATATTTAAAATATTTAGATGTTCCCTAACTTCTCAGTGTAAAAACTCAGTTTCTGAGATCTTTTCTTTTGGAGTTTGTACTCTTGACAATCTAACTGGCAATGTTTCAGCCCAGTAAATACCTGTTTTGGTTGGAAATACCAGAAGTTTATTTTTAAATTACGTGCCACATTCTTCTGACCTGTTTCAAATAAACCCAGAAACCAGCAATTGTTTATGCTTAATTTAGCATGATAATGTGTATACCATACTATTTAGAGAGTCAAGCTTTATATATTTAATCAAGAATTTGTCCAGAATATGATACCATATGTAGATAACATGTATCTAATGTATAATTCTTTAGGCAAACATAACTGTCTGCTTCTGCAGGAAGAATTGTTACTAGCATGAAGACAACACCACATTCTTCCTAGTCTAATTTAGCCTGTGCTGGCATAGATAACCAGTTATAATACAAACTACTTCAGGCAGCTGTCAAATCATCTTGGTTACCAAACAAAGATTTTGTCTATGTTATGAAAGAGGAATTATGCTACAACTAGGGTAGATAAATGAACGAGCCAGTAATGGTACCTTGACTTCTAGATTCTGCTGTCTTCCATGCAACTGCTGGGGAGTACAGTGGTTTGTTCTGTAATACCAACAGCTGAGAAGGGCATAAAATGCCAATTAGAGAAGGCAGTGATATTTTTGAACACTGAATGTGGATTTCACTGTGGTAGGTCCGTGTGAGAATGCCAGACCGTAGTATAAAAACAGTAGAAGGTCACTGCCTACTTATTTTCCCCTAACCATTATTTGGAGCATATTTCAGATGCTCTTCTCATCTCAAGGCTCTGAAATAAATTTTCGGGTTTGGGGTTTTTTTAGTTCATTTCATGGCAGTTATGTCAGTTGCTCTAGCTGGTTCCCATCATTTGGATCAAAGTGTTTGCATCCTCTGGGACAAGTATAAATAAAAAGAATTTAAATATTCTTAGAAAATATTCTTGTCATACTGGGAATCATTTGCTAACTTAGCTTTTCCAAGAGATGAAGCTAAGTGAGAAAAAGCTGGTGCCAACTCAGCCTTCTGAGTAACTCTGAAATACTGTTAGACACTTCAGTAAATTATGCTCAGCAAAACAAAATTACTTCAGGAATATTATGTATGTGACATACTACATGTAGTCCAGCTCTTTCAGGAGATCACATTGTTAATAATACAGCTTTATTAGTACGTTTTAGGAAGCTCAACTTCTTGAGCATGATCTGTGTTATAGATCATGCTCAAGGCTTATAGCTGGTGTACCAGGCTTATAGGTGGGTGAGGTGGATGTGCCTTAACTGTGCTGATGCCAAGGTGTGATCACTGTAGGAAACAAGATCTTGAAACTCTTAAAGAAGAGTGGCACTTTCATTGAGTTTCATTTTAACCCATTTTTTTCTTGGAATTAATTTTAACTCAAAGTTTCTTTCTCAGATGATAAAAATCTCAGCTTTCTCCATGCCAATATTTCCTGCTTTTCATTCTGCTAAATGTTAAACTCTGTAACACCAATTAAATATACCGTAAATTAAGCATAAGTAAATGTTTAACATTTCTGTGAATTTTGAATGTTATACTAGTGGTTTCTCTCTTTCTTTGAATTAGATGGAGAGCAGAAGACTCAAGTGATGATTCATGGAATTGAGCCAATGCTGGAAACACCCATACAGTGGCTAAGCGAACATATGAGCTATCCAGATAATTTTCTCCACATTAGTATCATTCCCCGACCTACTGATTGAAACTCGGCTGTATTGATATGAGAACCATTCTCAAGCTGGAATGAGAAGGGCATGTCAACTTCTTGCTTCTGTCAGTCTTGACGGAGGCAGCCTGACCAGAAAAAAGAAAAAAAAAAAAACCAAAAAAAAACCAAAACCAAAACCAACAAAAAACCTGAAACAAAACAAGTCCTCACTGCTGTAAGCCTAACAGGAAGAGAGATCCGATCATCAGATAAGGGCAATTGGGCTGATCTTATTTTGCATCACCGCTGTTTTTCTTCACCACTGTAATTAAATCAGTTGCGATATGAAAGAATTTACAGGACCTCTGCAAGTCTGCTGTTTTCTTGTAAAATATAATGAAGCTGAAACTGTCAGACGAAGAGCAAATGGAAATATGCCACTTGATTGTATTTCTGGTTAACAAATAAACAGGGCTGTTTCCTAAAGCGGTAGTGTTTCAACTTTGAGAGTGGAAACATTGGTTTAATTTTCTAGAAAGTTAGACACTGAGAGATTCAGTTACCAATAGCTTTTTGTAAAAGATCAAATTACTGTAAACCCATCTTTCCTTAATGAGAAGTTCATGTTTACAGTACATGTATTGGTATGCAAATGATCTTTTAACTTTGATAACAAGCAGTGAGAGATTTTAAAGTAAACCCGTGAGTATGTTTTGTCATTTAAAAACATGCACAACTTAATAACTTCCAAATACTTTTGATTTGTATGCTGTCACTGAAAACTCCAGTATGTTTATTATTCAAACCAGTTTTCATAGACTAGCAGTGATGTAGGATAATTTGTCTCAGGATTTGTCATGGAATTTCTTTGTGCTCATCTAAATTCTTTTTTTTTTTTTTCCCTGTAAGAATATTTTCTTAATTTAGTTTTAAAAGTTTAAAAAAAAAAAAAAAAAGTAAACGGATGTTGCAAATGATTGTATCCTGCTGTTTATTCCCATAGACTAGAAAGCAGTTAAATCATAGAATGATGAACAGATGTATTGCTTTTTAATAATTTCGAATTTTGGAAAGCTGAGGCTTTTCCAAACTAATTCTTCCTTACATCTGAGTTTAGTTTTCTACTGTGGTCCCTGAGCAATCCGTCTGAAATTTGGAAGCTTCTAATCTCATTGCACAGATTTTTCCCTAGTTTAGCAGATGTATTTTTAGGCTATTGGATCACTTTGGTTTCTAAGTGTTTGTTACCATTGCAGTACAAAAGACAGAGATTGAACTGAGTGAGAAAGTTGTCTGAGGAGACAATTGGCATAGCTGCTACTAGAAGTCTTACCATTTTTTTTGTGTTATGCTGAATTCATCAGTGCACTGTTGCTTTGTTTGCAGTTTGTTGCTGTTTGTGGCACAAGACTACGTTTGTAGTAGACATATTATCAAATGTAAAGAAAGCATGACAATTTTCTTTCAAAAATAGTAGCTGTTGAAGTTCCTGATGAAAGTCTTGGCCTGCAAATGTCCCGGTAACTCCCAACGCTGTTCCCACTAGTTTCCATGCTCCCTTTATGGTAGGATACATGCCTGTATCTGAAAAATAAGAAAATTAAAATCAATGAAACAAACAAAAAACCTCTTTAAGAAGCAAGAGGGGAAGGATCTCCTTGGGTGAGGATAGAAGTGAGGCTAAAAAAAAGTCACTAAAGGCAGAAAGTCAGTAGACAAATGAGGGTTTTAAATGTAAATGAGGAAATAGCACTAAGGAAATGGAAGGGAAAAGGTAACAGTGAAATAAACCTATGCTGTCTTCTGTGGGTCACGAAGAATTTTTAAAAAGAAAACAAGCCATGCTGATCTGTGTTTATCCAGAAAGGAAATATAATATTCTTATAGTGGGATGATTTGGGTGAATTATTGTAATTTCCAGTTCTGTTTGAAATTTTGATTATGGTGTTGGATTGGCATTTATGAACTTTCGTAGGCAAACACATCTAAATATTCTGGGGAATTTCAAAGTCCTGCCAATGGATAAAGCAAATATTTTGTAGAATCTTCATAGTAAAAAAAAAAAAAAAAAGAAGTCTTTTGTAGAGATATTTTTTCCATTAATCAGGATAAGAGGCAGTACATTTAAAAGACTGTCAAGATTGTGTTTCCTTTGTTTCAAGGTAAGCTGGAGTAAGTCACTGGCTGTTTTAATATATTCTACACCAGCATTTTAAGTCTGCAGCTCTCTTCTCATGGCCTGTGTTTGCTAGTAAATCAAACTTCTAAAGCCTCGCATGGAACAAAGAAATAGCTTGGCTTTAAAACATATTCTTTCCTCTTATTTTAACTATTTAAATTTTATTAAAAAATACAACAAAGTTTGAGTCTGTCTTTATTTCCAGCTAAATAGGGATCTTTGTCATGGAGTGACAAAAACATTTAATTAATACTTAATAAGTAGAAACTTCTTAAGGAGCTGGTTTGGTGATATATCTAAACAAAAGCACATCACAGAAATTAAGTGGTGTCTTTGCTTTCTCTGATTTAAATCACATTTTTGTAGTTTCTTTTACTTAGTTTGTGAATAAGAATAGCAAATGAAGGTGTGTTGTGGCTTAATTTTTTTTTATTTTTCACTTTGAAATGCTGTAACTTCTGGAAGAAAACATATTTGGTCTGAACTGGTCCGAATCTAAGAGTGTTCACTAAATTAACTTCACTAGTAAGGAAAAGTGCCATATAAAATTCTAAATGTAGAGGAGTATCTGGTGAGAAAGTTAATGATAGTTTAAAAAGAACAACATACAGAGCTTGTTGCTGTCTTCACTATACTTTACATTGTTTGGCAAATGACTACCTTCATTTTTGAATACTCAGTGAAGAAAGTGAATTTTTCCAGTTATTTCATTGATAGCACTGACTGTCATTCAACCCACTGTAAGTAATGCCTTTTCATTAATTGCTAGAAATTGGGTATTTTAGCGTTAAATAATTTCCATTAATTCTTTAGAGAGAGAAAAGAAAAAAGGCAGGAGCATCCTAAATAAAATAAATTGGTACTGGTTAAATGTTGGATGACATTGCCACTACGGGGAAGAACATCAGCTTGACATCTGAAGGCCTGGAAACCCTGAAGAATGGGAGCATGGGAAAAGATGTTGAACTGAATATACAGAGTAGGCACAGGGACTAAGAGAAGGATTTCTGCTTGGAAGTGAGTAGAGCTCATACAGTGGTGTGTTAGGCTGCTAAAGCACCTGGAATCCTGGGTTCCCGTTAGGTACAGAAGGTTCAGAAGAGGGGGAGAGGAATTGTTTGCTCGCAGGGGCATCAGTTCTCACATTAAATATTGGGAGGGGCAGGGGTTGATCCTCAACAGAGCAGAAAGGAGAATCTGTGTGCTGTAGAGACTTTCTGCCTTAGTGGCAGAAATGCAAATACTGCTGGCTGTGTGTATAGGTGTGACTGGGAAATCTTGCAGGAATGTGAAGAAAATATTAAATCTTTAGGGCAGATCAGGCACAGGAATATGCAGTGTGAAGTAGGCATTCATAAACTTATGGAAAGGAAAACTTGAGCTATTTCAAACCCAGTTAATTCTCCACAAAGAGTTTTGGGAGCTGTGGGAGCAAGCCAATATGAAGATTAAGTTATGGAAAGAATAAGAGCTGGTTTCCTGCGATAGCAGTTTGACTCAGTGACCACTGGGAAAGTCCTTTCAGTTCTGTGTTCCCACGTGGTGCTCTCTTACAGCCGGAAACCTATCAGCTGATAAAGATGCTTGATATCACTTCCAGTATTATTTATATCCTGCGTAATACCTATGGCCTAATGTTTCCTTATATGGTGAATGATAGCCAAGTGACATCTCCTTGTTTATGGCACTGACAATAGCTGGTGTTTTTTCAGTTTTGATATTTAGGAAAGTCTGCATCTTGGGTACACAGATCTATCAGCATGCTCTAAGAAGAATTCTAGGTCTAAAAAAATTACTGTTCACTTTAAATAATGTTTTAAGCAAATTCTACAGCTTGCCAGAGATAATTTACCAAATCAAGGGACTGGATAAGAAAAGGATCGATTAATCTCTTTCACAGGTACTTTCCAAATAGGACATTTTTAAGTGTAATGATTTTAAACTCTTCAAAGAACCTAGATGTTAGCTTGCTTGCAAATGTAGCTTTAGCTTAGAGAAGGAATTTATTCATATGCCACTGTAAACAATGTTAAAACTGATTATAAATGTCTGTAAGTCTAATATTAAATATTGATGATTATCAAATTATGCCAGAAAGAGAATGGCCTTAGTGAGGCCTTCCATAGGTGATGTTGTTCTGGTGCTGCAAATGGATGACATGTAGAGACTGAGTGAATCTCTGGCAAGTACCATGACTTTTTACAACTTCAGCCTTGCATCAAAATTTTGTCTTTACTGAGAAAATAGTGTTATTTTCTTGATGTAGCAGAAGTGTATTTCAGAGGAAAATATTCTCCCCCCCCCCCAAAAAAAAAAAAAAACAAACATTTGTTACAAGGTTTGTGGCTCTATCAATATAATAAGGCTTTTGGAAAGTGACTGTAGCCATTGGATTTTAGTAGTCCCTGCTTATTTGTACAGGAAGGAGATTCCTGAGGTTTTTTTTTCCTTTCCTTAGGATGAGAAAGGGTATTGACAGAGGTTCATAGGGTATCACATCACATATAGAATGCATTTCTGAATTAAAGCAGGTAGGTATCAATTCTGTGCTCAAGCTTCTGGTTTCGAGACGAGGATGGTGACATTTCAAAATGTCACACTAAACCTGAGTAATATCTCTTGAGAGAGGGGTAAAAAGATGTGAAGTTTCAAATGCTCAGAAGTAGATTTCATATTTCTGTACTTTCAAGTTGTACCATCTAAATTAGTTTGTGGAAGAAGAGTTTAAAATGAGAGGCTTTCTTTCCTTCACTTGCCTATGATTCACTTAAGTTCTAACTGTGAAATGAAACACGAGTTTCTCTAAACAAGAGTAAAGAGCACAAAAGATTACAAAACTTCTTTCAAATACGGCTATGCAAACAGGTACATGAATA